ACGAGGGTTTAAGAAGACCTCTGTGGAAGGTCTGTAAAAAGGATGGAATTAAATTTTACTTCCTCAATCAAGGAAAATCATAGACAACTCCAGATGCACTATGAAACGCCTACATCTCACAAGAACAAGGACATCTGCACTACATACAGTATTATCACCCTAAGTCTCTGCAAAGAAAATGCAGGACCGCAGGGACTCTTGAGTGGCGACATCAGTAGGACTCTTGTTTGGGGTGTAGGCTAGGCCTTATACAGTATTTCAGAACTTGCTGGTTCAAGTCTGTGCTAAATCTTTAGCAGACTGTGTATGGGACTCCCTGAGCATCAGGGTTCAGGGATGAGTGGCCTTCTTGAGTCAATCATGGTGTCCTCAGTTTGTCACATAATGGTGACCTCCCGTGTCCTGCCAGGTGTCTGTGAACACGTGGTGTTGTCTCTGAGAGTCACATCACCCCTCCAGCCCACACAGACTCTGCTGTAGGAGTAGTCAGGTTCACAGTGAGAAAAATGGCAGATCAATCTGATGGTGAAAATTTCTAAGCAAAGCATGTGTGGTCCTTGTTCTTCCTGTGCTAATTTAAGGGCATAGTAGCAAAACAAGTTATTTAACTACCTATAAATGTATACAGGAGGGTATAGGTAAAATAATAATTGAAGAAATAGATCATTACCATTTTTGTTTCCTTACACTACTCTTGGATACATAGCAGCATTCAGCAAAGGAAGCAACTTAACAACACCCAAAACATCTGACAGAAGATAGTATTTGAAATACATTCTCAGCTGTCCTGAGAGTAAAGGCAAGTTTTGAATGTCTACAGAGGCCAGACAGGCCTAGAAACATACATTGGAGCTACAACTCCCAAGGATGGTAACCTGCAATCCTCTACTTCTTGTCCCAGCCTTTTTGGTTGATGAAGTGAGAACAGAACCTGGAAAACTATGTGATTACACTACCTTCTTTTCAATAGCCACCTGATTGTTAAAGAAAAATGAGCAATTCCAAAAGCACACATACTGTACACACACTAGATTAAAGCACAGCTCATACCCACCCAATTAAAACTGCTTACTAACTGCGCAATGGTCGTTTTTCATTTCAACCCATTGAAAATCTGCAATGAAATCTGTGGTCTGTGTTTGACTGGTGGGTCA